TTAATCCGTGTACTAGTAGGGTAATTTTTAAGTTTTTATAACTGAATCCTATATGCTGACGGGATGAATTTTGGTTTTATGCAGTAAAAAAACTATAGTGATCAAAATTCTTAAGTCAAAATGTCTCATAAAATGCAAATTTATCAATTCATGATTAGAGTTATGTAACAATTTAGTATAATCGAAAGAATTCCGAATTACACTTTATAAGCAGTATAAGCAAATATCGCGTTAATCTACTTAATTTTCGTTATTCCATTTAAAATGTAAAATTTTTTTTAAAGACAACAGTTGAATTTGCTCGTATTTGATGCAGTAGTAAATAACTATTGGGCACCAGACTGTTTACTATGAATTTATGAGAAGTAAAAGTGAAAAGGGTTAAAAGACAAGTACAATTTGATTTATACAAATATCACTTGAAACATCGACAGTCAAAATTACTTTAATTTAGATAAAAAGGGACGAACTGCGTCAAATATCCATTAAATTGTATACTCAAATATTCTATGAATAATTGAAATTTTGTTCAAATATATTGAGTACAGCCAATGTACCATAAATCTATTCTACTGTACTGAAAAGAATTAATAATCTACTAATGGAAAGTAATGAACTACATAAAATACTTTTTATTTCATTTAACGATACTTTTAGCTAACATCAAAAAACCATTTATTCGAGGATGATAGTTTATGTGTTTGGTGTATTTAGTTGACAAAATTTAAAACGAACGCATTTATTATTTATTATGGATCTTCAAATGTATCATACAACGTTAGGACGTACAGAAAAAGTTTGTTAAGTAATGGAAAAAAATTATATGCTTAAAAAATTGAATTTGACAACATCGGAAAGGTTCAACGACAGTATTGTTGCAAAAAATCACCTAATTGAGAGTATGAAAAAAAATTAAAATATGCAATTTCCTAAAAATGGCAAATTTGCCAAACAAAGCAACTCTTTACGTTATTGATAAGATTATTCTCTCAGGAGCAAGTCATTGCTTCAACAATAATATACAGTTAGGTAAAGCGGTTTAATTCTGATGTGCTTTTAGCATGGCTTTTTCTCATTATAATTTGTCTATTGTTATTGTTCCTTATATCAATAAATTTTATGTTGTTTCAATATGAAATGTTCACTTGAACCATTGTCTTTTCACAGTAGAAGTTAATAGATGATTATACCAACTTTTTGATTTGCTGTAAGAAACACATATTATGTGAGCAAGTATGAAATATTTCGAATTGCAGTGTTCAATTGTAAATAGTTACGAACTAGTAAACAAATTATATAAATATTATTTTTACAAATAAGAACCAAATTCACTGCGATACGGATAAAGAAAATATTTTCATCACCCTGTGGAACATTTCAAAAGCAACCAAAATTAGTAACGATTTTCAAAACATGCACATGTGAATTTAAAAATGCGTTCATTATCATTTGGACCTTCCAGTAGCCATTACGCGCTAAAATACTCTTTATCACCTGCTTTATTTTGACCGCATATTAAAAATCGCTTATTCTAAGTCACATATTGTCCTGAAGGGATAGTCATGCGGGTTGGATAAATACAAAAAGTAGGACTTAAAAAAAATAAATTACCAAACCATAGCAAAAATAATGGTGTACACACTTTGCCGTTGCGGTCATGTGCAAATCGGCTGTCAGGCTGATTCAATTACGATCTTATCTCTAAAACAGATGACAGTTATTTCCATGAAAAGGCACCGGCTATAAAGTCGACCACCCCTCGCTTCGTGGGAAGACCCCAGTTATAAAATTCCTCTCATGTTCTATCTTTCGGTTTTCAGGTTTCATTTAATTTATCTCGCTTGTTACTCAAAACGGTTTTTTGGTCCCTTATTGCTTTCAAAATTACATTCGAAATGGATCACTGTAATTTCAAATATTACCTTTATACATGAGCAATCTGGAAAATCACCTGAAGCAAAATACAGCTGTTCATTGATGAAATAATAAATTGGAGGTGCCTCTTTGCCATTTGCGTCTTTTGCAGTGAGCGCTTTAGGAAAATCTGTCAAAGTTCCTAAAAGTGTTTATGTACACTGTAAACGATTGGCCTTTGTACAAATGCTCTATTTATAATTATTCCGATTTCGTGAAAACTTTTCAGAAAAATGAAAAAATTCTTATTGTGCTCGACTGTAACTTGACTGTAACTTGCTACTGTACAAGCCAGTCTTGACTTTAAAATCGCTCATCATTTCGGTAGCACATTTCTGTTGATAAGCGTAGATGGTCATAAAAGGATCTTGATCTAGAAGGCGGAGTTACCATGAAACAAACAAAAAAATATCTTTGTTTCTAAGTTCTTTTCTTTCTGTAATTTTTGAAATACTTAGAGAAAAGTAATTTTTGAGATTTCAGCTTTTATTCATTTTTTAAAGTTATTTCAAATCATATCAAGAAACAAAATGTTGGTATGTATCAAAAATTTGTTACAACGTTTCGTTTCTTTGAGACGATCCTCAACTTTTATATGGACCGAAAAAAAGGTACATAACGTATTAGGTAGTTGTGTTAAAGCGAATCCAACGATGTTTAATATAGCATGATTTGTTACGGTTCTTGAGTCAAAAAACAAGTTTTTAAAAATTATGCCTATTTTACATGTCCAAAAAATATCCTGAAACAAGATTCAAAAAATTCGTCAAATTTCTCTTTTCTTTGATTTTTTCCTCGTTTTATTAGGTTCGTTTAATTTAAATTTCTATTTTTGTATCACTTTGTTTCATTTTGTATTGAAAGGTTTTATTCTGGGTTTAGAAAGTTTTGCAAATGACACGAACTTCTTAGGTTGAAAGGTAGAGGTCTGAAACTTGACCTATTAAGCTTTCTTCGTTCAGGATATTTGTTGTTGTAATTACTTATATCTAAGGGAGACATAATTTAAAAAAAAAATGTTTTTTTGGTGTAAGAACCGGTACAAATCGTACTGTGTTAAATTAGCTATTAAATATAATTTTGATAAGCATCATCTAGTAGAGCTCAAAAGGTGCCATGAGGAAGTATTTTTTACTCTTTTATATGATTTGCAATAACTTCGGAAATAGAACAAAAATCGAAATTTTTTTTCTGAATATCTCAAAAAATAAAAGGATTATGACCCCTTGATAGCGCACCTTTTTCCTAATTTAACTGACCTCGTATCGCTTACGGTTTCGGAGATCCCCAAGCAATTGTTCCTAATCTTGGACACCCCGTAGAGTATCCTGTAAATTACTTTATTTACTTGACGCATTGATCGTTGATATTAAGAAGTTAACTGCGAAACGCAACACTTTGAAGCTGAAGTCACCTACAGCTTCAGAGGCGTTTATAAAGAGAAAAGCTACCCGATATTAGATGCCGCAGTAGAATTCGTAAAGAATGAATCTGTGAAAACGCGTTTGGTTCAATGGATTAAGAGAAACCTGGCAAATAGGTTTTAATTTATGGTAATGTCTTAATAAATATTTTAGAACCATGCTAAAAAAATGAAAATTCGTCTGACCCAAATTATATCTTGTGATTCCGAAGATTTAAAAAAAATAATGTTACCCCATTTTAGGTATATGTAGGTCACGTAAACAAGTAGGAAAAATAACAAATTCTAAGAACGGTGTTGCATAAATTGTAAGTAAATTTTCCTGGAGTA